ACGATTTTTCACAGACAGGTAGCTAAGAGTCCTTATTATATTGTAGCAAAAGTGCGCACAAAAATCCCCAAAAATAACAAAGATTTCCAAAAAACACTTACAAGGATACCAAAAAATTACTGAATTACCCCACATTACTCTATATCGATATATTCAGTCAACTTGTGAAAGAATGAGTCGCAGTTTTTACAGAAAGGAAGTGAAAACAAAGACAAAAATGAAGCAGATATTATAGTGTCATAGATGTACTGGCGAACTAGAAGTGTGATTGTTTTGACCACTGTTTCTGGAAACGTTTTAATTTCTCTCAAATTCGAAGAAACTGAATATAACGAGCAATACACCGGAAATTTTCTCGTTTATCTCGTCTCATTTGTCGTGTTCTTGTAGACATTTATTGAACAAACTGAGTTATAAAAATTGTAAAACAGACGCTGTATTCGGGACAGTGAGTTCTTCCTCATATGCACCCTTTCACACTTTCACAATTATTTTCAAACGATTAACGGACTGATAGACAGAAAAGAAAACAGATATATGAAATGAATGAAAGTGAAAGTTTCATTATTCATTCTCCTTTCGTCCAAGTGAAGCACTATTAGACATTTAACAAAGAGTCTGTTTTTTACATTCTCTTTTACTTCTGGTCTCCTGAGAAACAATAGACATCTGACGAAGATGGGAAATGTAAGAAAATGTATTTACATTTTCTTAATGTAAAATGGTTTTCAATGATGAAATAAGTGTTGGATGAAACATTCTTTAGTCCGAAAAGAGCGAAATTACTGCATTTCTCTACTCTAAGGTAGTTTCTTGAACCTTAGCTCCCCTAACTAATGGTTGAACCATCTTTTTCTTCCACGTAAGATACTTGAAGCATAATGATGATAGCCGCTCTATGAGCTTTCTTCTTCAGCGATGGAGGCGCTTAACCACTAGCATTTAAGAACGCGCTATCTCAAATACTAGCGTTTCTCCAGCTCGGGACGAAGACCCTGCCTCCTGGAACTGGGTAATGTTTTTTTCGTACATATTTTTCTCTTTTCTGTAGCCTAATCGTCAAGAACCCTGGCCAAGGGAACATTTCTTTTTTGCCTTTCATCGGCTTTCAACATTAAAAACACACTCACACAACATGTATTTACAAACAGCCGCTGCAATGAAAACAAAATATATCGATAAGAAAAAAATTTCTTTAGTCATATTTAATTATTTTCTTTGTTGAACTTAATGAATAATATCTCCATTCAAGAGTTTTATTATCAATTACTTTCACAGAACGTGTTTTGGGTGTTTCTGGTAAAGATTTAGCTATTTTAAATATATTTTCTAGTTTTAGTTTTGAATTATCAATATCATTTTTCGTAATTTCAATTATAATTATCTTCTTTGTTTTCTGTTGCGCTAACTTAACAAAATCTTTCGCTGATTTACAATTATCACCTGACAATGCTGCTGACCAAACGAGCCTCTTAACAGTCCCACCAAGACCATCAGCAACACCTTTTCCATGACTTGTAGCAAAGAAATTCCAACTTAAAGCTATTTTATACTCATGAGCAATCTGAATTAAATTACGAAACATAAAACGTTGCTTAAATTGTGAGGCTGCACCATCAGAAAAGAAATCAATTTGTTTTAAATTCGGTACATGTGTTTTAAGTTCATTTAAAATAATTTCAATAGCTGACTTTACAACAAATTTATCGTGAGACGTCATTCGATGGAAGTGTAAATGCGAAACCTTGACTTTTAGACCATACATAAGCTGTAAATATAGATAGAGTTTTTGTATCCGAATGAGCAATTTCGTCTTACTCTTTCAAACCAAAATTTTCTGCGAAATCAACTTGTATCATCTGTTACTTCTGACTTTAACTGTTCAAAATATTTACTTTGTTCACGCTTAATATAGACATGAAATAGAAAATATTTAACTTTGGATTTCAATAATTCAACAGCTTCATCAACTGATCCTTCAAATTCCTTTTTTCCTGCACGTCCGTTTATATGGACCCATTGCCACATTATCAATAACTTTCTCTTCAAAATTACTTTCACATAATGGACATGCAAGAAACATACATTCTTGATTGACAGTATTACAAACTAAAGTCCCAGTAAATTGTTGTAAAGATGAACAAGCATTTCCTTTAACAAATTTATCAATTCCTTTCAGTATTAGATTAGCATTTTCATAATAGATACACACACATATTCTATGAGCTAGCGCTGCTTTTAGAACTACAAATAACGGTCTTAAATCGGCAAACGATGAACGAGAAATAATTATTCTTTTATTCTCTTCTATGAAAAATTCAAAATTTTCACGCAAATTATTCAAAAGTATTCTTTTCTGATATGTTATTTTAGTGTTATCATCATTTTTAACAACAATAGTATCACGTTTACCAGGTAATTGATAAGAAACATCGTCTCTTAAATAAAACTTATGAACCG